ATCCAAAAGAATTAGCTCAAAACGTTCAAAAATGATGATTCGATGAATCAATCATGATAGAGATTGGATTACTAATTTACAACCTAACTTTTTTGACATGCTTCCATTTTGAATATTTTTTTTGATTGGTTTTTGAAGAATGTGAGGATCTAATGATCCTTTCCACTTGATCTTGTTTGAGGTTAGATGATATCGGTGAAGGTATCTTGTTGGGTAATGGACGATCGTTTGTTTTTTGTTCTGGGAAAATGCTCTATTCCCCGAAATTCCCCGATTGATCCCCGATCCCCAATTTCGGGGGCGGGGATCATTCCCCGACCCCTAATTCGGGGAATGATCCCCGACCCCGGTTTCGGGGACGGGGATCGACCGGGGCGAGGGCCTACTGGCGGGTGATTTCTTCTAAGTTTGCCATTGAATCACTTGTTTCAGCGGTGTATAACGAAGATGTAGAACTCGGTGAATCTTGAGAATCCTGAGAATTCTGATCGTCGCTATGAGTTATCCCGTAGTTCGTCGTTGTTTCGAATTACGAGTAGGCCCTCGCCCCGTCCCCGATTCATTCGGAGATCCCCTATCCCCGTCCCCGAATTCGGGGATCGTTTCTGTTCCTCGAATTCGGGGAAATTCGGGGACGGGGACGGGGAATGCCGGGGATTCTGCGAATCAATCTTGAGAAATCGTAGGCCGAAGAGTCTTCGAACGACTCCCAAAGGATGACGAGCTCAGGAAGTAATGTCGAATTCAAATCACATCGATCAAAGTTTAGAAGAAGATCTCGAAGTACAACTATCAAAACTAGAACTGATCAAATTACTTCAACCTCATTTCCAAATCAAAATTAACCAGCACAAGAAGAAGAACATAAACATTCTCAAGATGAATCTCAAGAAGAAATTGAAACTGAAATTGAAACTGATATTGAAATTGAAATTGAAGCTGAAAATCGTTCTCAAAAATCCTCTCGATTCCTGATTAAAATACATCTTGGTCTTTATTCTTTCAATTGATTTAGTGTGTATTTATTTCAACAGTCTTAGTTTGTTTGGATGAGTTGAACCACTTTGAAGAAACTGATTTGATGGTGTCATTGGCACTCATTGCATTGAAAGACAACAAAAATTAAACAAATTGAAAAGTTTCAACTTTTAAGTATCACTTCTCTTTCAAATTACTCTTTTTGTACGTTATAAATTATAATTTCCAAACATCTGAATGACATGAAGAATCAAGATCCGTTTAAAGGAATCTAAAACTTGAAATAGAAGCAATGATAAAGAACCGATGATAAAATGATTAGCTCAGATGTTTGTAGGATTCTTCATGAAAGACCTGATCACAATTGAACCTTACTTTCAAACTTCCATTGATCCCATCGACTCGACATTGATTGGAATAACCTTGAGATTTTGTTAAGTATCGTTGTTGAAGGTCCTTGATTCCTTTGTGGTCTACCGTGAACGGTCTAATCGTTCGTTTTTGTATTTGCAAAAGGGCGATATTCCCCGAAAATACCGATGTCATTCCCCGTCTCCAAATTCGGGGACGGGGATTGTTCCCCTAACCTAATTAGGGGAAGGGGATCATTGCCCGTCCCCTAATTCGGGGATCATTCCTCGTCCCCTAATTAGGGGACGGGGATCGACCGGGGCGAGGGCCTAATTACGAGTGAGACTAGTCTGTATCCAAGAGTTATACAGTTGTTTCGTACAGTTGGGGTTATTGAGTTGTGGCGTAGGTTTGTACTGTCGAGTTTGTAGATTGTGGCGTTAGTTTGTATCGTTGATAAGGTTATAATGTGAGATGAGGTTTCGGATTTAAAGTTAATATTGATTTGTCTTCTGGCGTCTGTACTTTTAAGATGGTACAATATGATATGAGCAGATCACGTACAGAGACTAGTCTGTTGGTTCTAAGAGTTGGGGCTTGTGGCTATTCTGCTGGGTTGGATCTTATGATGATTGATGATTGAATTGTACCATAGAGGAAAGGGTACAATGAAGGATGACGTATAACAAAGTATATAAGAACAAGCTATACAGTTTATAAGCATATCCTTATAGAATGATCAAATTGAGATCATAACATGAGTCCAGGAAGGATTTGCATTTGAAGCTGTTGCTTTGATTGTCCAAGTACAAATCAACAAAGCTGAGATCAAGTGAGTCAAAAGCAGCAATAAGATGCCAAAAAACCTCTACCAAAATACCCTACTTGGGTATTACTGGAGGGTTGAAAATTTGGGTCTCGGGGCCGGCCTGTGGTTGTGACTAGGCTGGATTAGGGCTGTGACCCGGCCCCGGCCCCGGCCGGCCGAGTCTGCCCGACAGCTTTCCAGAGGCACACGGTACGTGCCCTGACACACGTGATTGAGGTGACAAAAGCCCTGCGGGCGCCTCGGGCGGGGCCGGGCCGCTCAAGGCCCGCTGTACTTTTGCTGTGTTGACAAAATCTGTCTTTCTAAAATTCCTCCTGCAGCTCTTTTTGATTTTGATGTGGGCTCATATAGCTTCTAAAAACCATCACACACACATAAACTTGCAATAAAAAATAAAATAATCACTGTATCGGCTGGTTTTAGCACCTATAATAAGGTCAGGGCGTGCCCTGGTTGGCCCTGAGCACTTTCTGGAGGCCTTCGGGTCTACTCAGGGTCGGGCAAAGCCCCGCCGGCCCTGAAACTTCAGGGCCGGGTCACAGCCCTAGGCTGGATCAACTACAAGGTGTGGAAAAGAACAGCGAACAACTTTTCTCTTTGGTCCAGAGAACCATTCCTTGAAGGAAAGGCTGCAGAGGGGTTTGAAGGTGCTCTCCTGCAAAAGGCTTCAACCCTGAGCAATAAGTTTGTACAATACGAGTTTGGCTCGCTCGCTTCAGTCTCGCAAGGCGAGCGTGGGACTTTGATAAGTTTATGATCTTATATAATTCTTCAAATCCAACCCATCATCCTATCCACTGAGTTCCATCATCGACTTTGTACGATAGACAACCTACGATGTCACTTCACTCTCGACAGTCCCATCGAACCCCCCAATCACAAACTTATCTATTTGATTCAGATGAAGAATTGAAAATGTACATCATCGATTCAGATGAAGAGGTAGTCATTCCGGATTCTGATATCGAAGAGAACAATCCGAATAAAACTCAACAAACTCCAAAACAAAAGGCAGGGGAGGAAATTCAACTGCCAAAATCTCGATCTATCGAAGCCCGATTCCACCCTTCAAAGACTCAAACCGACGCGGTATTGGAAACCAATCCTCAATCTGATTGCCGGCATCACAAGCGATCTATACAAGAGAGAAGAAGAGGACATTCAAAAGACTCCAACGGCTCCCATTTTGATCTTGATCCATGCAAAGCCGACGACAAAGTACGTGGACTGATGAAGCCGTACTTGTTTGAATCACTTCAACTCATTTCTTGCTCGTATGCAACTTCAGAACATACCTCAATCACCGCGGCCAGATCGTAGTAGAGCTTCCTGGCAGATATCTGAAAACATAATCCAGAAGCAAGATTCGGATGATGACAAAGTGGAACTTGGTCACGATGATATCACAGCCAGTAGATCAGATAGGTGTAAATCACCTGTTTGCCTCTCGTCTAATGAGGCTGCATCAGCCTCAACTAATCCACCCAGAAAGTGTACACATTCTGCGACGGGTGATGCAGAAGGGACTTTTTCTACTTCTCATTCTTGGCGGAATGCGAAAGTACCTCATTCAAATTCAACGATTTTTCTTAATGAACAGTCTGAAGACGAACCACTCGAACAACGACCAGAGTCAAAGCGACCAAAACCACCAGTACATAATCCTTCCAATTTGGGTGCTGTCACTGATGGTCACTCCAAGGCCAATGCTTCACCTCCTACTGCTGGAGCTTCGAGACCGGCTTACAGAATTCCCAATATCATCCCTGCCTGTGAACCTAACGATCTCGGTCAATACGAATCTTCTACCTGTCATCAGTGTCGAGTGAAAACTACGCGACCCAAGATGATCTGTGATCAATCACAAGATCCCAACTGCGTCGTTCGAGTCTGTATCAAGTGTTTGATGAGGAGGGGGGTCTACGATGATCATCCTGAGCTTCAACCGCCCATCTTTAGCTTTGTACCAGGCGGAAGGATGTTATGTGTGAAGTGTCGCAATCTCTGCCCATGTATTTCATGTAGAAGAAGGCGTGGCGAGAAAGAGGAATGTCGTAGAGGCTTAGTTAGTTCAACCAATGGATTCTATGGACTCGCCCTAGAAGAACGAGAAAAATTGTTGTTGATGAAGGAACAAAAACGTCAGGCGAAACGAGGAAACGAAGAATCTAGACCATCAAATGAGAAGACTAGACTCACTAGTTCAAGCAACGAAATCTGTGGACTGACCTCAAATGCAACACTACAACATCAAGGTTTGTCAAAGAAGAGAAGAAGTCATCCAGAGGACTCGGATGGATCGGATTTTAATCCAGGCATACGTGATGAACAAGTGCGTACTGGGATGATAAGGTCATAGTTCTCTTACATTACGTTAACTCTGACTCATCCCTTGACCTCCGCCTGTAGATCATATCCCGATCACCACGCCCAAATCGTAGTAGGGTTTCACTTGGCAAGAGGATAGTAAGTGATCACTATAGTCTATATGCTTACTATTGAATAAATTCATCTTAAATCTTACCTCCTGACGCAGGAAAGCGGAATCTGGACGCATAGTGCAGTGGAAGCGCCCCAGCAGCTGGAAGGATCCTATGGACTCACTCCGAAAGAAAGACTCCAGGCTTTATCGAAGAAGAGAAAGATACATCCAGTAGACTCGGATGGATCTGATTTTAATCAAGACATTCCTGGTGATACAGTACGTGATAGAAAGGTGAAGTTATAATTTTGATGGTCGCATGCCTTTAACAAACCACTTGAACTCCTCTGCCTGTAGACCAAACCACAATCACCGCGCCCGAATCATAGCAGTACTTCACGCCACAATGTCGACACGAGGATGGTAAGTGATCGCTGTAGCTTAAATTCACATTGCCTCAATCTAAAATTTTATATTTCGAGTCAGGAATCCGAAATTGAAGCTTATGGGGACATAGAAGAACCTCGGCAGATTGCAGTTGATCGCGATGATCGTACGGCCAGTAGAGCGAATATCCATGATTCACATGGACATCTGCCATCTGGTTATCCACCAGAAGCGTCGACTAGTCCACCAAGAAGCTGTATACTTTCTGGGACAAGTGTAAAGTCAAAGCGACCAAAATCAGCTTCGAAAAACCCTGTCAATTTGGGACATGCGACTATTGGACCTTCTAGATCCAATCCTTCACCTATCGCTGGATCTTCAAAGCTAGTTTATAGGACTCCTAAAAACATACCCGCACGTGAATCTGACGAGTTTGGTCGATACGAATCTTCCTGCTGTCATCAGTGCCAAGTGAACACCACGCAGCCGAAGATGATCTGCGACCAATCCCAGGATCCAAACTGCGTCGTTCGAGTCTGTATCACGTGCTTAACGAAAAGTAAAGTTTACGACGATCATGTTGAACTCCGACCACCTATCTTCAAATTTACGCCTGGTGGCAGGATGTTATGCGTAAAGTGCCGTGATGTGTGTCCATGTGCATCATGTAGAAGAGGTCGTAGCGAGAAAGACCACAGTAGTCGAGGTTCTGATAGTTCAGCCCATGATTTCTGTGTACTCGCTCTAGAAGAACGAGAAGAGTTTTCATCGAAGAAGCAGGCAAGACATGAGCCAAAACGACAAAAGCAAGAATCGCGACCATCAATCGAAAAGACCCTTTGTTCGCATTCCCAGTTCGACGTCAGCCTGGATGCCTTCACTCAATGGAAAAATAGTTTTGACCGAGACGATAAAGCCCAATTGGCTAGTACCTTACTCAGCAAATAAAACATACCCTCTGCTCTTCTTAACCGAAAAGCTATTAGTGTAGATAAACAGATATTCTCAAATACATTGACGGCACAAGCGTGAGCGTAAAATTTATTTTGTCATCCATAAAGCTTATCAATCAAGTTGACCTTTATCTGAACATCTTAGGACCCCTGCCACTAACCAAAAGCCTAATGGACGATGCTGGCTTTTTGCTACTTGCAATTTGGCTCGCATGGGCATCGTCAAGAAATTTGATCTAGGTAGATTGATGATCCATGTTCAATTAGCTTTAACACATCTTACTAACAAGTTCGCTTGACTGTCAACTCCAGGCGATTTTGAATTAAGTCAAAGTCGCCTGGTCTTCTACGATTTCTTAGAAAAGGCCGACTTCTATTTAAAGAGTATGATTGAGGTTAATTCAATCTACCTCTCTACCTTCACAAGTGTCGTGATACTGACGTTCTTCTGCAGCTTGTTGAGCTGCCGATCGAAGCTCGTATCATATCGCATATATCTGGCTCTCCTCTAGGTGATGGAGGTCAGTCTTCACGCATCCTTATCAGCAAATCGCGTCCCAATTGCTATCTGATGTCACTACATTACAGGGCAATGGGATATGGCCGCAGGATTAATTGAAAAGTATGGCTTAGTGCCCCAGCCAATCTATGATGACTCTTTCAATTATTTAAACTCGAGTGGTATCAACGCTTTCCTCACCTCCAAACTTCGTGACCAAGCTCTTGAACTACGTCAAATTTACAAGGATGCTAAGGCTCATGCTGCTGATAATCTTGGTCAAGACTCTGAATCGGCTACCATCGCTGGTATTCGAGCTGCTAGACAGGCTAAAGAAACTATGGTATATATCCAATTACAACCCAACCATTTGTCTCGTTTTCTTTTTGTCTGACTGTCAATTTTTCAATAGATGGCCCAAGTCTACCGCTGCCTAGCTATTGCTCTAGGCTCTCCTCCTTCTCCAACTGAGAGTTTCAAATGGGATTACGTTGACAAGTCAGGCAAGGCTCACAGTCTTGTCTCTACTCCTCTGGATTTCTACCATAAGCATTGCGCTGGATTTCAGGTATATTCATCACCTTTCTCACCCTTATTTTATACCTGACCAGGATTTGATACTCTGCGTAGGCATCTGAATACATTAGCTTGATCAATGACCCGAGAAATCCGTACAACAAGTCATATACTATTGAGCGCGTTGGAAATATTTGGGGGGGTCGTCCGATCAGACATGTCAATACTAGCCCGTCAGTATCTCATTTACTATGGGTTTTGACCATTAAACCATCTTTTTGTGCACTTGACATTGAAGTTTACCTTTGGTTTAGCGATGTGTTGAAGAGCTCAGTGATCAAGATGATCCAAGCTGATAAACCAGTTTGGCTTGGTTGTGATGCGAGCAAGATGTCAGATCTGTCTCATGGTATCATGGACACCAAACTCATTGGTAAACCTTCCTTGCATGTTTTCACACTTGTTTTTTTCCTGGCAAACTGAGGATTGCCTTTTCTGTTGATTGGTGAAACACATGATAGATTACAAAGCTACATTTGGAGTGACGTCTCGCTTGTCGAAATCTGATCGACTTCGAATGGGTGATGGTGTCATCTCACATGTGATGGTCTGTACTCTTGTGCTGTTGTATTCCTGTTAATCCAAACATCATGCCTCATGACATCCTTTCTTTTGCACAGGTCATCACTGCCGTTCATCTTGACGAAGAAGGCAAACCAGTACGCTACAAAGCCGAGAACAGCTGGAGTGATACCGCTGGCCCTCACGGCTGTTTTGTCATGACGGATGCGTGGTTTGATGAGTATGTTTATCAAATCGTCTTACCGAAGTCTTTTACTTCGGATTTGCTTAGAGAAATCTATGATGATCCAGAGCCGAGTGTTTTACCACCATGGGGTATGTAGCTTTCTTCCACTTCTCAGAGATAGGGACACCAAATTGACAAGCTTGGTTGATTATATAGATCCTATGGCAAGTCTGGCTTGAGATTAAATCATAGAATACGGATTTCATATATTATCTTCTCTCAAAGACTCAAAGTTGAGATTGTTCGTTATAGTTGTGTTTTGTGTTTTACAAACTGACCAGTATCATTGTGTGTGTGATCTAATCATTTGTTTTTTTGCAATGCAAGATAATTTAGAGTGGTATTCAGCACATTCCAATGGTTGGAATATGAGCAAATATATTGAATTCAACCTTTTGCTATTCCTTCATCCAAAGCATCCCACCATGGTCCTCATGAGGATATTTTCAGAAGAGTTGATGGCAATTTAAATTCTGATTTATAAATCTTTAAAACTCTAGTCAATTGGAAGTGGTAAAAAATGAATAATGTGGGGCTTTTCCAAACCAAAGTCAATAACAATTGTAACTTGCAAAATGAGGATTGTGTTACAATCGCTCATTCTCAGTTTGATTCTTGAGAATGTTTTGATGTAGTGTACATCAACAAGCAGATGATCCATGGTTGATCACTTGTGTTTGCATCCTTGATTCTGGAAACTTTCTTCTCATGGTCACCATGTAAATATCCGTGTGGCATGTTGACGTGCACACACGGAGAGTTTTGAAATAAAACTCCAAGTCTTTTGGTTGAATTTAGACTGAGATTGTTGTTGAGCACCCTTTGTGCTTTGTGATTTGTTCAAAGGAGTTGCAGAATCCTTGGTTGTCAGCAGGGGTCAACTGACTTTCAACCTCCCAGGTGATAAGGGGAAGATGTGCTTGTTGTGGCACCTCTTTGATGGGTTGTTACAGGGTCTAAGGAAAGTCTTTCGTGTGTGCACGTCGACGTGCTACAAGGATATTTACATGGTGGGTACTGCTGGGTTTCTCAATCAAGCTTAATTTTTTTCTGACATTTTGCTAGTTTTTCTCTACAAATTTGTCATCTTGCAATCTTTGTGTTACTCTGTCTGTAACACTACCTCAGAAGTAATATTTTCCATCCAGAAAAGAAAAGTACGGGCATGTTTTCCTGTAGAAAACTCTCACCAGCACAAAAAAATTGGTAAACATGAGCAGGAAGGTGTGGCTTTCTACTTGATCATTTGTGCTGCTTTGATTTTCTCACATCTTTCAGTAAAACAACTCTTTGTTGTACTAAAAAAACATGTTTTCAGGCTCCAGAGTGTGACCTGGAAGAACCATGGCAGGGGCATGTCAAAAACTCACATTTCACCCAAAACCACCAGATCATAGGGTTTTGGACCAGTTTAAGTTTCTGAGCTGACCTGGTCCTAGGACAGGGATTTACAGGTCACAATCTGGAGCCAACAACATTGTTTCATTAGTACACAAAGTGGGTATTGTAACAAAAATTATGAAAAAATCACAGGAACAGAAAGAAGCAAGTAGAAATATGATGGACCTCTTGGTAATAGTATATATTTATATTTTTTTGTCTTGTTGGGAGTTTTCTACAGGCAAATCTGCCTGTATCTTTCTTTCCCACACAGAAAATATTACTTTTTGTGCAGTGTAAGGAACATTTGACTCAGAACTTCTAACTTTCAGGCAATGAACCATGATCATGTCCTCCTTAAGCAATTGGTCAGATGGAAAGAAACAGATGGGTATGCCAGATTGGAGAACACAACCGGGCTACTTTCATTTACTTCCATTTCTAGCTCTCAATTTGGGATTGCTGGAAGCAAACTTTGCAAAGCCTGTACCGTAAAGATGGCTTGGGGTCCGCTGTTAAGTGAGTGTCAGATGGTGCCAGAGAGTCTTGAGACAGTGACTTGTGAGACCGCTTTGGCATAAGACCCCTTGTGCTTTTGTTGAAAAGTGAAATATGTGGGGGTTGGGTGCTGTCTTGAGTACTCAATGCTCACTAATGGGGCTAGTAGGATCTTATGATTTATGTAAATAGGATTAAATATCACAAATATAAAAGTATTTACAAAGGGTCAAAAATAGAAATAGAGAGAGGGGGGAAGGATAATGATGAGATATAATTATAAAAAGTGAAGGATGGCTCCTGGTCCTTCCTTTAATCTTCAAGTTGACAGATCAAAGAGTGATTTAAAGTTCACTAGTCTAGTTGTTCCATGGTCACTAACCTTGGGTTGTTCTTATGGTCACCAACCTTGGGTTATTCTATGGTCACCAACCTGGGTTGTTATATGGTCACCAAACTTGGGTTGTTATATGGTCACCAACCTATGGGAGTTCTACTTAGTGAAAGTAGAGGATCCTGAGAAAGGTGAAGAGTATTACTTACTTTTAATCAGGGAACAGATTAAAGTAGTGAAGATATCACTAGTCTTATATTTATAAGACTCTTGATATTTACTTCAGTAGAACTTTGATTGTTCTTAAAAGTAGTGTGTAATAAAAGCTTGGGGGGAAATCTCTCAAGGCTGAGAGAGGAGGGGTTTATATACTCTCCTCTCCAAACCTAACTGTGGTGAGATTTGTTTACATCCCTACTTTGGTATAGGGTTTGATTATCATTATTATTTGGGATTATTACTGATAATACTTAACTACATATACCTGTTATGTGTAATATGTAATATAAGCTTTTTAACTCTTGACACTGGGTTATGAGGTGTAATTGATATTTTATTACATGCTACATATTATTTTAAATGTATATATATATATGTAATTAAGATGTATATATGATTTATCACAAGTTACATATGTTTTGTAAGGTTTATGTACATGTAATTAGTTGTCTGAAGGTGGTTATATATGTTACAAGTTAGTCTTTGGGTTCAAGATGGGCACCGGCCCCGGTTTTTGGCCGGATCTCAGACGGATGCTCCGTTGGGAGCGGTTGTCGGAAAGGCCTCTCAAGCCAACCAGCGGCCGGTTTGGAAGTTGGATGAGGAGGAGGAAAAACTGGATATCCATCCGATATCCAACGAATATACCCTTTATATTTGTCTGACATGTATAGGCGTGCAAGGTGTGTATTAATGTATAATTGTAGATAACAAACATTGAAAAGAGGATAAGAGAAAAAAAAATAGTAGTTAAAAAAATTAATCACTATCCTCCACTTCTTCACAAGTCAATTTCCAAGGACCAAACACCTGGTACCAATCTTTAACACATAAAAGCGCCTCCACATGTAAACAAGATAGATTAGTACGCTGAGGGCCCAGAATTCTTTTTGGTTTTGTTAAAAACCCCTTCTGAAGGACAGCTAGTTGCTGGAATTGCGAGGAAATACATCACCATTCTGGCCAATCCTGGATAAATGTCCACTCGTTTTTTCCAAAACTCTAACACCTTGATGTCGCAAGCTTCTAACTTGTCAGCTAGGTACTGATTGATCTCGTTGCTAATTGAATGATCATGTTGAACATCTTGGGCTCCAAAAATTGCATCTTCAAAGTACTGAGAAGTTGATGTTGCACTAGTCAATTTTCTGGTGGTATTTGGAGGTGGTATTGGTATATCGACCTCAAAGTTCAACGCCTCCTGTTCAAAGATGTATCTGATATCTGAAGTGACGAGGTCATATTGATTAAAAAAAAGGCTCGATCCTTTTTGTAAATGAGAAATACATGCACTGATTAGTACCACATTAGATTAGAAAGTGCTGAGACAAACTTATATGAAAATAGTTTAACTTGAGGCGTGGGTCAAGAATAGTAGCACAGACTGGTGCAGGTTTTGTAAGCACCTTCTTGAAGTACTCTTCAAGCTTAGATATCATGGATAGTGAAGCAGGAATTAATTGATCATGATCGTATTTTTGAGCTACCTATAAGCAAATCATTTCACATCAACAAATTGGATTGTGAGCATGAAAAGATTATAAAATGAACTTACAGATTTTAGTCCTTGTAAGACTACAACATACATAGGCACAACTTGATGCATAGTCGGGAACTTTGACTTGCAAAGGATCTTGGTTGCTTCGCTGAGGGGCTCCAAAAAATCACACATTTGCTTGACGTCATTCCACTCAATTGGTAAGACGGAATACTTCTTGAAATCTTTACCCTTACAGAACTCGTCGCACGCTTCTCGTAGACGGAGGAGCCTTCAAAACATATGATATGAAGAGTTCCGACAAGTGGGAACATCCACAATCAGCCGAGTTGCCGTGTGGACAGGTCGTTTTGGACGAGCGGGTTCAACTTTATCAAAGGTTGGATCTTCTAATAGATAGTTCAGAGCGTTGGTATTGGTAGGATCCTCGGAAATGGGAGCAGGGTTTGAGGAAGGTTGAGAGGGTTCTGGATTCATCAAGTTGGCAATTTCACGTCTCATTTTGACTATGCTGGCAAAATGAGAACCGCGTTGAGGGCTGGATCGGGTGGATGTAACAAGACCGTGACATCGAGAATAGATTGTCTTCAGATTAACTTGAGCAACGTCGGGAGGGTCCACAAGATTGTGAAGATCCATCTGATTTGACGAGTCTTCTTCGTCTTCGTCCGATTCAATGAGTTGACCAAAGACTTTGAGTCCGTCTTTGGCCGCAAGATTGATCACATGCGCAACACAGCCATAAACTTGGGCCTGGTGATCAAAATCAATACCATCTGTTTGTCCGATGACTCGACCGATAGCCGCATTGGTACCAACGTTGTCGGCAGTCATTGCGCAGAGCTTATCCTTTAGACTGTACTTAGTAAGATATTCAACAATTAACCTAGCAAAGTTGTCAGCGTTGTGTGGACCTGTACATTCGGAAAGATTAGTATCAGTTGATTTGTTATGAAAGAAGGAAAAAATGATCGAAAAAAAAGTCTCACCTTTGATTTCAGCAATACCAAGTGTAATGTCCATGAGATCCCAGTTTTCGGTCATAAAGTGACAAGTAAGGGACATAAATGCAACATTATTTGGTGATGTCCACGCATCTTGAGTGATTGCAATTGATTTGGCCGGTCCCGAGTAAAGCTTCTTGATATGATCTTCGTATAGATAATAT